GATGGCTCTTGATTGAAAGCAAAGAGTACCAGAGGAATGTCTATCTGTGTTTCATTGACTATGCAAAGCCATTTGACTGTGTGGATCACAACAATCTGGGGCTATCTCTGAGAAGAATGGGAATTCCACAATACTTGATTATGCTCATGCGAAACCTTTGTTTAGACTCGGAGGCAGTCGTCAGAACAGAGCAAGGAAACACTGTATGGTTCAAAATTGTGAAGGATATATGCCAGGTATGTGTCCTATCTCCATACCTTTTCAATCTATATGCAGAACAGATCATCTGGGAGGCTGGGCTCTATGAGGAGGAATGTAGCTTCAGGTTTGGAGGAAGAATCATCAACAATCTGCCTTATGCAGATGACACAACCTAGCTTGCTGAAACTAAGGAGGACTTGAAGTGCTTGCTGCAGGTCAAGGACTGCAGCCTTAAATATAGATTGAAGCTCAATATCAAGGAGGCAAAGATTCTCACCAGTGGGCTGATTGGATGCATAATGATAGATGGTGAAGAGATTAAGATTGTTAATAGCTTCAGTTTGATTGGCTCCACGATCAACCAGGTACCAGTAACCAAGAAATCAAAAGACGAATTGCGCCGGGAATGTCTGCTGTCTGGGACGTCTCCAGGGTACTGAAGAGCAACAATGTCATTTTGGAGACTAAGGTACACCTGGTCCAGGTAATGGTCTTTGGAAGTACTTGTTATGCATCAGAAACCAGTACAATGACTAGGGATGATAGAAGTAGAATTGGTGCCTTTACCTGAGGGTACTGAAGAATAGTACAGAATATATAATGGACTGCAAGGAGAACAAACTGATTTTTCCTGGAAAGGGTGAATCCAGGGTGCTCCTTGGAGGCAAAGATTCTGAAGCTTCATCTGATATACATTGGACATGTTTCAAGGAGGGACTTATTCTTGGAGAGGGACAACATTCTTGGGAGGGTGGAATGATAATGCAAAAGAGGAAAACCCTTGATGAGATGGATTGACTCAGTGACCAGAGTAATGGAGTTAGGTATGTCAGAGACAATGAGGTTGGCTCAGGATAAAACAGGCCTCACAGCTGTTGTACATAGGGTCACTATGAGTCTCATGGATCTCAAAGGCTCATAACAACAACAAACAATAAAATAGGATTTGTCATATAGTAGCAGAAACTATCAGTATCTGTGATATGAAATGGATTAAGATAGTCTCTGACCTCTGATAATTAAAATCTAGCCTCAAAAATTAAAGGGAGACAAAACAACTATGAGATATCATCTTACTCCAGTAAGAATGGCAAAATTTAGCAGAACAGCAAACAACAAATGCTGGCAAGGTTGTTGAGAAACTGGAACCCTTATTCATTATTGGTGGGAATGTAAAACGGTGCAACCACTATGGAAGGCTGTATGGCACTTTCTCAAAAAGTTACAAATAGAAATATCATTTGACCCAGCAATTCCACTACTGGGAATATACCCTAAAGAAACCATAACTGCCACCCAAGCAGATATATGCACACCCATGTTTATTGCGGCTTTGTTCACAATAGCAAAGAGTTGGAAACAACCTAAGTATCCATCAACAAACGAATGGATAGAGAAGTTCTGGGATATTCACATGACAGAATATTATGCTGCATTGAAAAACCAGGGACTCATGCAATATTATTCAAAATGGATGACCCTGGAGGACATTATGTTGAGTGAAATATCTCAGTCACAAAAGGACAAATATTGCAGAGTGCCACTGTTATAAAATGAGACTGACATCGGAGTTGAGGGAAGACTGACAAAGAGGGGATAAATAATGTACTGCATTGAAACAGAAGAGGGAGAGACTGTTTAAAAGGGATATATGATTAGGCATTATTGTTATGACAGGAGTTCAGAATGAAGGTTGCGCAGTGGAGGGATTGTTTCATAATGAAAGAATTTTTCTTTTACCATTCAAAGAGAAGAACAAATTGGGGAGGGTTGGCCAGGGGGAAAAGTGAAACAATGAATCAATGGAAACCCTAAGTCTCTGTAAACTTTCACTAAAATTAATAAAAAAATTAAAGGGAGAGAGAAATTTCAAGATATAAAACATAATAGTACATCCATGTACTAAACTATATTCAAGTCACAAAAAGAATTTTGGGTTTATATTAAGAGTTACATTGAAGCAGGGAAGAGTTTTAAACAGAAGAGTGGTATGATAAAACTTCAATTTTGAAAAATCATTCTTCCTAGAGGAAAATAGTAGTATTAGAAAAGAAGGGAGGGGGTGCAGGAGTCCAGATATAGAGAAATCAGAAAGGTGCTACAGAAACCCATGAAAAGATAAAACAAATACCTTAGGAGGCAAACACAGATGAGCAACAATAGAGACTATGAGAATGGAGAAAAGCAAATCACTTCAAAATACATCAACATATTAGAACTAATAAGACATGGAAATTAATTGGAAAATCAAGAAGCGTCATTGATGACCCCACAGCTTATGGATTTTGAGAACTGGAGAGATAGTTGTATCATATTTGGAAAGAAGGACAACATGGAGGAGGCGCAGAGATGAAAAATATTACTCTGTTTTTGACATGCTCGATTTGCTGGTGAGAAATCTATGTGAGCATGCCAAGTTGGCTGGTACAGATACAGGCTTGAAATTCAGAACTATCGGATATGAAAATATTCCAGTGTTACTACAATATGTGTTGTAATCGCAGCCATTGATTCAGGTTCATGAACAGCAGGTAAAGGAAAGGACACTCACCTTCAAGGAGCCATCTTTGTTTCCCTTTTTCAAGTATCCTTTGATCTTTCTGTCTTCTTGTCTTATTTCTACTTTTTGGACAAGAGGCACTGATTTAATAACATCCACCTTCTCTAATCTCATTTCAAGAAAATGAAATCATCACATTGAGAGATGTTTTATTAATGAATTAACAGAAATAATAGAATCCACATAGCAATTGGTTTCTAATAACTTAATACCACAATAATTGATAGAATAGCATGCAGGTTTTGTTTCTTCCAGGTAAGAAATTGTCCAAGAAAACAGCAACAACTAAAACCCTTTTTTACCAGTTAGTATATTAAAGAAAGTTATTAATTAATGAATATTTCATAATTATTTCTTGATTAATAAATTAAAATGTTCTTAATTACAGTAAATCAATAGAAAAAAAACTCTTCTGTTACATGATACTACAGATATACATTTTTGTATGTTTATCTTTCTCATGTATAAAATTTCCATTGTTTCCATTCTTTTTCAGCATTCCAAAATTGCCATCTACTCTAAAATAGTCTTTGATGTCTAATGTGGAAGGGATTTACATTAAAGGTATAAAGTCTAATAGAGCCATAAAATAAAATTCTCTTTCCTAAAACTAATACTTGTAACTAAATATTATAATCACGTTGTATTTACTGAATTTTAAGCAATCTATTCCCAAATGTAGTCATTCTTACAAAAATATTATTATAGTTAAACTTAATTAACAGCATTGAAAAAGATACAACTATCTCATTTCTTTTTCATGATCATAGAGGGCATTTATGTTTCTGTGGCTGAGTATTAACAAAAAATTATAATAATTATACTTTTAAAATATGTAACTGAAAAATATAGTGCAGTCCATTCTTTATAGGTATAATTTCATTATCTATATGTACACAAATCACCCAAAATTTTAGCTATTCATTTAGAGAATAACTTTCCATTGAAATTGTTTCAAATAAAACATTTGCAAAGAAGAATGAATCCAGTCTTTGCCATTTTTTCTTTCTTTTTTTTTTTTTTTACCAGATGGTCCCCACTGTAATGAAATGAGGCTGTTTTATACATTGGAAGGAAGGCTCATCAGAAGAGCGATATAAAAGAAAAAAAAAAAGGATTTCAGTGCTTTATAAACACATTAGAGAGCTATGTACCTGTGCAAAAACTACTTATAAATGACTGCAAAATGTTACAAAATACTATAAAAGTCATGTTTCAATATGATTTACTTTTCAGTGGTGAAAAATTCAGCTCCAACACAGGAATAATAATAGAAATGATATCTTTTTAATAGGTTGTAGGAGGCAATTATAATTATCATGTTATATGCTTCTTCATTATCTAAACAGAATCTGTTAAAAGCAAGAGCACTTAAAATGAGAAACTAAACAATGGTTTACATTTCCATAACTGAAAAAAAAATCAAATTTTGATTCTGAGGTTAAAAAAAAAGTTTTTACCAAACATGCATTTGGCTTTTCAGATAATTGTCTCACAGTGAAGCATTTCTCACAGCCCAAAGTGCATAAGAACTACGGGTGGAAAAAGTGATCCTAAAGATGGCGAGGGTAGGGAGGCAAAGCTCTTAATAAGTTATTTTTTTTAAAAAAAACCCCAAAACAACAAAGGTCCCCCAAAATCCCAAAGTATGAATTATATCGTGACGGTCTCTGTTTCCTTCAAGTCATTAAAATAGCTGGCAAAATTTACCTCCAGAATTCCCTGATGATTTAGCCTATGGAAATAAAAAACAAAACCAAAACCAGTGACATAGAGCATGTAATTCCATAGATAAATTCCCGTCCGAAATTCTTTTCCTCATGACAGGAGAAAACAGCCTTCCCAACCCAAATGCTCATGTGACTTAAAGATCAATAGCTCATTTTATTTGCCCCACAATCTTTAATGCTGATACTGCCAACTTCTTTTCTTTTTTTACTTTACTCTGAAAAAGTCAAACATGTTTTTCTCTTTCATTCATAAACCCATCTTCCATCCAAGTACTGTCCTGTTTTTGAAAGCTAGTGTGTTTATTTAGGCTCCATCAATCCATTTTCCAGCCATTACACTAAACATGCTTTAACTTAGATGTTCATTTTCTTATGTGAAATGGGCAACCAGAAAGGTCCTTTATTCCCTGGAAACCTCCACAGCCAGAATTACACACCTGGTCAGAATTCATCAGTATATTGAACACATCTGGGTCAGAATTTATCAGTATATTGAACACATCTGTTCCTTACACATTTGTAGCCTCGGTGAAAGAGTCATTGGGGTCACTATTCATTTTGACTGTCAAGTTCTTTTTAGCCTTGCATGTCTCAGACACCTCAGAGTGAATGGAGTCCAACCTCTGCTCACAGTGGAAGGCTGAGAGAAAAGCCTTCCTGTAGTTGCTGTTCATCCAGCCGTAGAGCAGGGGGTTGGCAAAGGTGGAGCACATAGCAATAATGTGGAACACTGTGAAGATGAGTTTGTATTCTTTTAGTTCTAACACGTGACTGTTAATGTCAACAGTGAGTTGGAAAGCATGCAAGGGTAACCAGCTGACTGCAAACACCACCACCACACACACCAGCATTTTAGTGGTTTTCTGCCTTCGATGATGGTGGTGATCCTTTGCAGCTCCAGGCCTCACGTGCTTCTTAAGTTTACTCCAGATGCGAATGTAGGAAACAGAGATGATGCACAAAGGCAACAGATACAGGACTAACAAGGAGGAAATGCTGTAGACAGTGCCGTAGTTTAGCTTCTCCTGGGGCCACTTTTCAGTACAAGCTGTGATCTCAAAATCTGGGAAGATCTCAATCAGTGAATATTCCCGGAAGATGGCCAGGGGGCTTGCTAGTAAGGCACTGATGCCCCAGGCCACGCCGATGATCAGAAAGCTGATGTTCTTAGAGATCTTGCTCTCCAGGTGATAGACAATGCATCGATGTCGGTCCAGGGCAATCACTGTCAAGGTGATGGTGGATACCTGCACTGCCAGGCCCTGTGCATAGGGCACCAGATGGCAAAGGACAGGGCCCATTTTCCACTCTCCCATTAAAGTATAGGAGAGAGTGAATGGTAGGCACAGGGTGTTCACCAGAAGGTCAGCCACAGCAAGATTGGCAATGAAAAAGTTGGTGACTGTGCGCATGTTCTTGAACTTGACTACCACGTGAATCACTAAGGAGTTTCCAATCACTCCAAGCAAGATGATGGAGCAATAGGCCATTATGAGGACAATCTGGACCTCAATCAGCTTGGTGCTGTCTCTTAGTTCTGGTTCAGCGCCAGAGGTCAGTTCATCTGAAGGAGTGGTTTTCCTTGGCCCATACAGCTTTACTTTTACCTCTTCCTCCACTGTCTGGTTCTCATCGTTCCCCGAACCTACTGGGCCCATGGTTGGCACAGTTCTCCATGGAGTCCACAGCTAGCACAACAACCTACAACAGAAAGACAAGTGATGATGGGACAAAGATGACACAGAGTGAGGCAAGTAATTGTCACAAACAAGCTGGTTTCACTTGGGCTGAGATTCAAAATACCTGTCCCGTGATCCCTAAAATTTCACGTAGCAGAACATTTTAGTAAAACAGGTTCTATATTTGCAAATATGGATACAGATTAAATACTGTAGATACAATGCCAATTAAATTAATCTTAAAATTAAATTCATCTTAAAAGTGTAGCTACAATGCCAATTAAATGCATCTTAAGTGTGATGGCTACAAAAACTTTATCAATTAATTTTATAACTGCTATGAATCCATTAAGTTATTTAAAAACATATAAAGAAAGATTCTGTTTTTCATTGTTTTTGTTCAAACATTCTTCTAGGTCATATAGCCCTGGTGTGTCCACTTGCTGTACAGAGGTAACTTGTGGTTGCTGTAATGCTGAACACTGTGAACTGATGTGTCAAATGCGAGAATGGTCACCCATGGTGGACAGTGTTTGGTGGCGCTCCCCGATTAGAACAAGTTTGGAAGCACAGTGCCATCCACTTCTGAAGTAGCTTGCCTCCAGAAGCTCTCTGAACCTGGAGAAAGGATGAAAGTACAAGTGTTGAGGACTTTCATTCATAGGGTCACTGAGTCACCTGTGACTTGAAGACACTTAACAACAACAAAGAAAGAAACATTTCCCTCAATATATAAACTGTTTTCCATTTATAAACATTGTAACAAAATACACAGAAACCTTGACATATATTAAAACCTTTGTCTGATAGCTGGACTTTGAGAAGGGTAAGCATTTTTACACTGCATTTTCCTAATCTTACCTTCTTGTGTTTCCCCCCCCCCTTTCTTCATCGGTTAACTCACTCAAAGTTGTTATTTTTTAATAGGTTATTTGTTGTTGTTGTGTGCCTTTGAAGAGAACGGACCCATAGATGACCCTCGAAAGAGACTAGATCACATGAGAGATTTCCCATTCTCCTACAAACAAGTTAGTAAGTCTAGATATTTTTCACAAAAAAAATCTAGACTTCACATTTAAGAAGACATTCATAATCTCTCTGCTTTCCTCTATCATCATATCCATCACAACAGTTTTGTCCTTCTTAATTTCTCATTGGAATCATTGCAATAGATTTTAATTTATATCCTATCCCTTCCTAAGATTCATCAACACCTGCATTATATGGATGACACAACCTTGCTTGCTGAAACTGAGGAGGACCTGAAGCACTTACTTCAGAATGTCAAGGACTATAGTCTACAAAATGGATTGAAGCTCAACATCAAGAAAACAAAGATTCTCACCATTAGGCCAATTGGCAGTATGATCATGGATGGTGAAGAGATTGAGATTGTTAACAGTTTTAGTTTGCTTGGCTCCATAATTTCTTGATACCAGCAGCCAGGAAATCAATAGACTAATTGCATTGGGAAAGTCAGCTGTCAGGGACCTCTCCAGAGTACTGAGGAACAATGAACTCAGTCTAAAGACTAAGATGCACCTGATCCAGGCCATTGTCTTAGTAATTGATTGTTACGCATCAGAGAGCTGGACAATGACTAGGGATGATAGAAACATAATCGATGCCTTTGAGCTGTGGTGCTGGAGAAGAGTGTTGAATATACCATAGACTGCCAGAAGAACAAAGAGATTCATCCTGGAGAAGGTGGAACCAGGCTGCTCCCTGGAGGCAGGGATTCTGAAGCTTCGTCTGACATACTTTGGACATGTTGCAAGGTGGGATCAGTCCTTGGAGAGGGATGTCATGCTTGGGAGTGTGGAGGGACAGTGCAGGAGAGGAAGATCCTCGATGAGATGGATTGATTCAGTCATTGGGGTAATGAGGGTAAATGTGTTGGAGACAGTGAGATTGACACAGGATACAGCAGGGTGTAGGGCTCTGGTACATAGGGTCTGGATGAATTGCAAGTGACTCGATGGCACATAACAATAACAAACAACATCCGTTCCTAGTCTCCTCCTTTCTACCATTCATTCACTTGACTATAATTGATCATCTATTAAACATGTGACACAGCTCTAAATGTCATGCACATTTCCGTGAATAAACAAAAATCCCTACCCTTCAGGTGCTTATACTTATTCAAACATGCATTCGTCCAACATTTAAAGTCAAATACTAGGAAGTAAAATTTGTGCCAGGCAAAGAAATTTGCCAAGAAAGTATCTGTATTTAAAGGTTGTGGTATCTTATTGTACAGAGGACATAAAAACCCCAAATATAATATTTTTTTCACTTTTTTAAATTGTTAATTTAATAGACATTTACAGAGGTTTTGGATTTCCATTCATTTATTTCCTCACTTTTCTCCCTGCCCACACCTCCCCACCAGCTCGCTTCCCCCTCTGAAGAGAAAAAGAAAAAAAAATGCCTTCATTAGTATACAATTCCCACGTCCCTTCCCACCCACCCCCCACCCTGAGTACACTTCTCTATGCAACCTTAATTCTGGATTCCTGTGCTAACCGTAATAATCATATATCACTTCTAATCTGTTCTTTCCCTCATCTGTTTCAAAACAATATACATAATTTATCCAGTTTTTTCTGTCATACCCCCACCCTGATGTCAGACCCATTCTACAACAGTGGCACCATGCAGTATTTGTCCCTTTGTGACATACATTTCACTCAGCATAATGTCCTCCAGGGTCACCCACTTTGAATAATATTGCATGAGTTCCTTGTTTTTCAATGCAGTGTAGTATTCCATTGTGTGGATATACCACAGCTTCTCTATCCATTCGTTTGTTGATGGGCCCTTAGGCTGCTTCCAACTCTTTGCTATTGTAAGCAAAGCTGCCATAAACATGGGTGTGCATGTATCTGCTGGATGGCAGACATGGTCTCTCTGGGGTATATTCCCAGTAATGGGATTGTTAGGTCAAATGGTATCTCTATTTGCAATTTTTTGAGAAAGCGCCACACCGCCTTCCACAATCGTTGCACCATCTTACATTCCCATCAACAGTGAATAAGAGTTCCAGTTTCTCCACATCCTCGCCAGCATTTGTTGCTTGTTGTTCTGTTATATTTTACTCAAATATAGTATTTCAACTTGAAACAATGTGATATGTGATAGATTGATTTTTAATGTAAGACCCTCCTTTCAAGGTTTTAGAAAACATTCAGAGCCTAACATGACTAGCAGTGGTAGTGAAAATATACTACTGTATTAATTCAGATTCTCTTTTAAATGAATCTGTGCTTTATTAATCATAGCAGTATCTACTTACAGTGCTGCTGTTTGCTGTCAAGTTGAATCCAACTCAGAGCAACACTATCTGACAGAGTAGAACTACCCCAGAGAGTTTTCTAGTAACTTTTTTGAGAAAATCACCGTATTTTTTTCTCATTTGAGCCCTTGGTAGGGTTGAGCTGTTAACTCTTCTAGTTAACAGTCAAGCAGTTAACTATTAATCTACCAGTGTTGCACCTCCAATGCTAGATGGCTGCTGTTTCTGTGTGCCATCAAGTCCGAACTGACCCATAACTGACCCTCCAGCTGGTTTTCAGAGGCAGTTAGTTGCATGGGAGGAGATTGTTCATCATTCTCCATGTAGCATTGGTGACTTTGAATCACATGCTGGGTAAGTCATATTTAGTCAAGCTACAAAAAATGCTTGCCAAAAATAAAAAATGCTTGACCAATTGCCCTCAGTCCACCCCCTGCCTGCCTCACACCACAGGAGGTCTGACTCCCCTGGACCATTGCATTCTTGGTAGGCTCCTGGAACGTTGGTTTCTGGCTGGCTGCAGCAGTAGGAGACCAAACTCTACCGCCTTTAAGTAGTCGCCAACTAATAAAGACCCTGAAAGGCAGCACAGAACTAACTGTTCTACAGCTTCCAAGGCTGTAATCTTCACAGATATAGATTGTCACATTTTTCTTTTGTGAAGTAGCTGGTTAATTTGAACTGATAACTTTTCAAATGACCTCAGTGTTTAACCTCTGAGACACCAACAATGCAAATAGGAGACATTCCTAAGATATTTCAGGACAAGTGGATGAGAGAAGACAAAATGGTCTTTGCCGCCCTTTGTGCTCTGAATGATGCCCCCTGCTCCAAGGCTCTGGTACCTAGAGGACTGCTCTGGTATGAGTCTTGTTTCAGCCAGTGTCCCTACTCTTATCCCGTGATTGCAGTGTCCCTGTGATTTGAAACAAGTAATGATTTTCTGTTCATGCTAATCCCTGAGTGGTTGGTCTACAGCATTCCCTGTTTGTCTTGCATTACCTGTATAATCTATGTTCGGCATTAAACTTCTGTGGTGTTTTGTTTTTGGTGTGTGTGTTTTCTTTAATTCTTAGATAAATTCTATGTTGTATTGTATACTAAGCCTGAGCATTTATTCTTTCATTGATTTGCTTTCCTACCAAAGTGTCTGTGAGCAACATCTCAGGAACAGGTTTGAGGCCTTGAACACTAATGAGCGAAGACCAGATGAGTTGTGGGAAGATGTCAAAGATATCATTCAGGAAGAGTGTAA